CGCTGGGGCCCGATAGCATTTCTGGGTAACGGAAACTAATGCTGCAAACTTCAAATTACATTTTAAATAATGTTTATGCCCAACCCATCGCTGCCACATCACAGCCTGAGGGTCCGAGAGGTCACCCCTCCACGTGTCTCTGTGTGAACTGCAGCTGCCTCTCTACGTGCCGAAGAGACTTTGACATGAAGAGTGTGGCGTTGCCTACAGGCCAGTGGAACTTTCTGGTCTGAAGGGAGGGCAGAACCTCTCCCTCTCCCCAGGCAGCTTTTCTTAGAGAATCACACATTTGCACAGTGCAGGACCCTGTGCCTGACCCCGACATGACCCCGACATGACCCTGACCCTGCACCAGACCCAACCCTGCACCTGAGCCTGTGCCTGACCCTGGCCTGACCCTGACCCTGCACCAGACCCTGAGCCTGACCCAGACCCTGTGCCTGAGCCTGACCAAGAGCCTGGCCCTGCCCTTGACCCTGCGCCTGTGCCTGGCTCTGACCCTGACCTTGACCTTGACCCTGAGTCTGCACCTGAGCCTGACCCTGACCTGAGCCTGACCCTGCACCAGACCCAACCCTACACCTGATCCTAAGCCTGACCCTGTGCCTGACCCTGACCCTGACCTTGACCCTGCTCCTGAGTCTGCACCTGACCCTGCTCTTGACCCTGAGCCTATGCCTGACTCTGGCCCTGACCTTGACCCTGACCTGACTCAACTGAGTCAGGCTGCAGTCTGCATTTTGTCTTTTAAAAAGAAATTCGATTGTCTTCAGGAAACTTTAATTTTTTAATGTAATAGTACAGAGACTGGTCAGAATACAGAATTTCTATTGTTCCTTTACAAACTGTAATCAAACAAAAGCAGTAACTAAGGGGCCTCTGGTGATTCCCTCAGAGAGGGCAGCGGGGCAGAGAGGCGGGTGCAGTTTCCACTGCCAGGGTCCCCCAGAGGCAGCGGGCCTGGCATGTGTCCCCTCCTGGCGGACGTTTCCACGAGGAGCCTCGGGTTTTGTCCCAGATGGATGGGCATGGCCTTGTTGTGTCAGCCTAGAGGGACACCCCGGAGGCCGGGGCTTGCCCCCAACATTCCGCAGAGCGGGACAGCGCACTCGAAGCCCCTCTCTCACCGTGCACGCACAGGTAGTGGTGAGGAGGCACCCTGCAGCAGCCCTGGAACTCGGGGACGGCCCGCCGTTCCTCCCCGCATCTCGGACTCGGAGGACAAGGTGGCAGAAGGCACACGGTGTGCCCACGGTCATAGGAGGGCTGCTCCTCCTTCACCAGGGCAGAGCTCAGACCTCACAGGAGCTGAGATGGCGGCTGGTCCTGTAGGAACCTCTGTCACCAGAGATCGCGCCTCGGCAAGGGCCGGGCTGCCAGGAGACCCAAACAGCGGGTGGAATTCTCTTCGGACGCGTGGGAAGCCTGTGGGCACAGGCGGGCTGTGCACGTCAGCTTCCCTTGGGGCCTCGGCTACGCAGAAAGCCACACCACTGACCGCACGGCCGAACAGACAGACAGACCTGCTCGCTCTTCTCCGCGTGCTCCCTGGAGAGCCGACAGCAGCCGGAGCAGTGATGGTACCAGGCGCCGCACAAGTTTAGAAACGCGCACCGACAAGGGCCGTTCTTCATCGCTCCTGCTGCTAACGCCGTCCACCTGCAAGCTTTAGCCTCTCCAGACGACCCTGGCGGACCTGTAGGGCCTCATCCTGGAGGCCCCCGCCCACCAGCCCCATCCCCTAAAACACCCGACAGACCTCATGGGCGCTCTGGGCTGGGCCACAAGTGCGGGGAGCTCAGGGCTCTGCTGGTCCTACTCCGCAGACCTGGCTGGCACCTGGGAATGGTGCGTGCGCAGCGAGAGCTGAGTAAATTAATAGTCGCTACTCACAGGCCAGGCCGTGCTGAAGGCGAGCACATGATCATACTTAGTCCTCCAGAACCACGGGCTTGCTTCCATGGAGGAGGAACCTTGGGGCTCAGAGAGGCTGGGGGTTTGCCCGAGGTCACACAGCCAGTAGGTGCTGAAGCCAGCACCAGAATTAGGCATTGTCACTCAGGTGCCCCGAACAGGCGAGGGAAGCCAGGGAGAAGGGTCAAAGGCAAAGCTGTTGGCACGGGTCTCCTGAGCCCTGGGTTCTAGGTGGAGTCTCTGCTGGAACAGCAGAGCTGTGCACGTCTCCCTGGCGTCCCGCCCCTCCCGGCCCTTGGAAAGCCCAGCACAGCACGCTGGCTGGGAAGGCCAGGGAGCACAGCTGCAGGCGGCCACCCACCGTGGGGTGGGGGTGCTCACAGGCCTCCAGTGCACAGCGACCTCAAACCCAAGAACCCACTTCCAGCCCAGCCCTCTGGTCAGGAGCCCGTCATTACCTCCACACACTCCCTGTCTCAGCGGCTCCTGTGTTCATTATGCAGAAACAAGACAGCAGTCCGTCCGACGTCAAGACGGCCCGAGCAGGTGATTCCTGCTTTACCTGTACGTAAGGACATGATGGAAGAGGCCATGGGCCTCCTCGGTGCAGGAATGCTCCAGCTCTCCCCTCTGGGCCACACCAGGGCAACTGCCACACTTTAGGGGGCCGCTCTTCAACCAGGGTGTCCAGTATGGGAGGGAGGGGTGCACCGCCGTTGGAAGCAGGCTGGAGACCGTTTCTGCTCGGAAGCTTCCTTCTGCTTTTAGAATTTTGTTCTTTAAAGACCTACAAAGAGCGCCAGCCCTGAGTAACACTGTGGAGTGCTTGGTCTGCAGTAGCAGCCCCATGGGGCCCTGCGGGAAGCCCAGTGGCCCCAAGTCACCTGTCAGACCGGCAGGCCTGCGGAGACGACCTGCTGCCTCTTGAGATCCAAAATGCTGCACTTTCTTCAGAAATACCGTGGAACTTGCCGAGCCCCTGAGCATTTGTTTCAGCTTAGAGGACTGTTTTGATTTTTTGTGCTAACATCTGATGAATGACCAAAGACCTTCTCTGCAGCGGGCACCACCCGGGCGTCCTCTGGTAACTAGACCAGCACCTCCATTTTTCAAGTGGAAACGCTTGGGCTCCGAGACCTGGCGCGAGGGAGGAACGGGAATCGGGGGCTGGGCTGTCCTCCCGTCTCCCCGCATGGCTGCGGGGCGGTCACCTAGCTGGTGTGACCCTACCTGGTGTGACGTTGGCTTCTCAGTGACCAAATCTCAGCCCTCCCGAACCTTCCTCGCCAAGGGCACTCCTTCCGGAAGGGCGCATCTGAGCGCCTGGGCCGACCCTGGGTCGTGTTTGTGCTTCGGGTAGAGCTGGTGAATCTTGCAGCTGGACAGGTGAAACCATAGCATTTATCGAAGAAACACCATTGGTACGATTTCTCCAAAATCAAGTAACATCCCACGAGCGTCCGGGGTGGAGATGTGGTCCTGGTACCACCTTCCTGTTGGAGTGGCCCACTGTGTCTGAGTTGGTTTGTGTGTATGTGTTTGTTTTTAAGATTCTGAGGAAACCTGGCTTGGTTTTTTAAACGAACTCATTGTGTGAACACCAGGCATGAGCTGGCAAACCCTGAGGGCGGTGGGGGGCCCAGGGGAAGTGCAGCTTACCTTCCTCCCTCTTACGTTCCGGGGCCAGCACGGCAGCCCTTGGTGTGAAGGTCACCCGTCTCTTCGGGGTGCCCCCAGCCCTCTCCGTAAGACCCACTGTTCTGGCGGGCGGAGGGGTCCCTCCGCGGACCTGTGCTGGGCGGCACGCACCACGTGGTTCCGGGCGCCCAAGTCGTGCCTCTCAGGGGAGCTGCGCTGGGTGGGCGGGGGGCTGTCTTCACTGTGGTGGCCGTCTTCGCTGTGGTGGCCGTGGCCACAGGAAGGTCTTGAACGGCATGAAACCCACGTGAGGGATAAGGAACAAGTGTAGGGGTTCTGGGGGCTTTAGCCAGGCCCTGGGGCACATTGAGCTCACGGGGGCAGCAGGGTGCGACCCCCCCCCACCGGGCGCCACTACGGGGAAGGGAGGAGCACCCCAGAGCCGGGCAGCTGTCCAGCACCGCGCCCCGTGAGTGCCTTTTTAATTCCTCTCTCGGCTCAGATTCTCTTACAGAGTTTTTCTTGATATCATTTTAGTTTGGTGGCTCAGGTTACCGTGGTCGTTTCGGGGGCAAAAGGCTGGGATTCATCCGACAAGATGCGGGTATTTTGCTAGTGAGAAGTTGGGGGGTCCCGGCCGGCTCCCTGGTGACAGCCAGGAGCTAGTGCGCGGCCCCCCCAGGGTCCCCTGCTTCTGAGAGCCGTCCCCAGCCGCGTGTTCAGACCCCGCCCTACCTGGGGTCGCCTGGGACCCCGTGGGGACCTGACAGCAGCTCCGTTCAGCCGTCATACTGAGGTTTTCCTTTTAATTTGGAGACGGTCTTTTCAAGTCTGGGCAGAGAAGCAAACCTCTTTCATTAAACCACAAACTTTCCTTTTTACGTGTGATTTTTTAAAAATTATTTTTATTAACATATAATGTATTATTAGCCCCAGGGGCACAGGTCTGTGAATCATCAGGTTTACACACTTCACAGCACACACCCTCCCCAGTGTCCATTCCCCAGCCGTCCTCGGTCCCCTCTCGTGTGTGCTCTCATCGGTTTGGGTGCTGTTTGGTAGAACAAGGGAAGAACCAAAAAAGGTGTTTGTTTTTTTCCTGAAGACCAGAGCATAGTACCAAGTTCAGAGCCTGGTGTAAAACCCTGTCTTTCCCACTGTGACCGAAATTCTAAAAAGGAAGGAAAGACGGGCTAGCTCAGCCCACATGTCACGTCATTCCCAGATAACTCATTACCACAGCGGGCCCAGTGTCCTCTTGTCTGTGGGAATGTGTGTGTGTCTGCACTCTGTGTCTGTGTAATGTGTGTCTGTGTGTGTCTATGTGTGGTAGAGATCCGTGTAGGTGTGGGGGACCCCCGTCTGCCCGTGGGCTCTCGGGTCTGCAGGGCTGGGGGGGAGACCGCGGGCCGTGAGGACACCCCTAACCCAGCGTCGCTGTCTCCTAGGAGCTGTGTCGGCAGCGTATGGCCGTGCGCACGTCCGAGCGCCCAGAGGCCCCGCATGCGTCCCGCGTCAACAGCGTCTCCTCGCAGTTCAGCGACGGGCCAGTGCCCAGCCCGTCCGCACGGAGCAGCACGTCGTCCTGGTCTGAGGAGCCCGTGCAGTCCAACATGGACATCTCCACCGGCCACATGGTCCTGGTAAGGCTCGCGGTCCTCGCCGTCTGGAATCGCCATTCAGACCATGTGGTCTGGGACAGGGGGAGAAGGTGCGGGGCGGGGATGGGGAGCTCACGGCGCCCCTCCTGCCACATACCATCCCCTGGTTCCTGCCACACACCTAGCCTACATCGGAAGCGTCAGCAGCAGTGTGCTGGCCACCGCGGCTGAGCCGGTCAGGCGGTTGAAAGCCCAGGTGTCAGGGCGCCCCCGACTCCGTCCCCCGCTTCAAGTGCAGTGAGCGTGGGCACACGGATACAGGCCAGATCACGCGTGGGATTCGGCCCTGGGCGCTGTTCTCAGTGGAGGAATGCGCATCCGTGAGTGCCTCCTGTATGCACTGCTGTCGCTGAGCCTCCGACCAAGAGACGATCGTGGAGTCCTCCCCTCCTTGCAGCTCGCCAGGCGGGGCTTGGGGAGACAACTGTCCCTCACTTGCCGCTGCTACTTAACAGTGGCCGGGCACAGTGGGGGGCATAGAGCCCTTGTGTGGGGGCCTTGCTGTCCATATTCCTCCTGCCTGTCTGGCTCCCTGTCCTGTCCCTCCCCAAACCCTCGGAGGGCCACGCATGGAGAGGCGGGCGCTGCCCCGCGAAGGGGTCTGATGTCTGACCGTCACCTAGAGAGACGTTCACAATTCTGCCGGCTTTACCGATGTCTCCTGAAGGCAGAGCACCGCGCTCCCGGGCCCTCAGGCCACTCGCGCCTGCTGTCTCGCACCTGCAGAGCTGCCGCAGCAGGCCGTTGGCCGTGACACTCCTCCCAGAGACCGAGCATTCAGGGACAGCTGGCACAGCCGTCTCACGGCCCGTGACATGGTGGCAACACTCCTGGACCAGGCAGACCATCTTCACGGTCCAGTCTGTGTCCCAAGCATCCGGACGGGCCCCGAACATCATGTTTGTGGTCTTTAAACATGTATTTTTTGTGGCAAGTTTCCTTATATGTTTCTGTACCAACAACATACGTTGGCGCCATTGGACCACAGCCGGCCGGTGGCCCAGTCCAGTTAGAACGCAGCCACCACAAACTGGGGGCTTCACAGCAGACTCGGGCTTCCCCTGGCCCTGGAAGTCGAGGAGCCACAGCGTGTCTGTCTGCTGAGGTCCCTTCCCTGTTCCGAGCTCGCACCGTCTCGCCACGTCCACTGGCCCCGTCCCACGTTCCCACGCCGCTGCCGCCAGGGGCCTCCTTCTAGCCCTGCCCCCGCCTCTGCTCTCGCAGCCTGAGCCTGCAGGGGGCCACGGTCTGCGCACGGTCAGCCTGCGTGGCGGGGGCAGGGCAGCTCCGAGCATGTCCTGACTCTGTCCTCGACCCCACGTGACAATCGGGCTCGGGAGCTCTGTCTACCTGGTGCTCACCTTTGTCCCAGGCACTTTGCCGATGCAGAGCCCAGAGGCCCGGAGCCACGCAGCATAACCAACCCGTCAGCGTTTTTACAAAGGTTCTCGCCCGCTAAGTGGCTCCTCTCTTGGGCCCTGACACGAGTCCATTCTCCCGGGGCAGGCCACGGAGCCCACTGTGGTTCCAGCGGAGTCACGGTCAGCAGGAAGCGGCCCCGCATTACCAGTCCACGAGGGGCCTCTCCCTCCCTGTGGAAACCCGCGTGTGTCACCACCTCAGAACGTGCCGGAATGCCTGACCCTCGAACTCATTGAGGCGACAGGGAAGATGACTGCCGGGTGATCAGTCAGCCCGACCCTCCACGAGGAAACGTTCGTGTTTGTCTGACAGCTACATTGCGATCTCCCGGAGCTACATGCCACAGACTCGGAGACCATCAGGTGAATTCCTCCGGGGCCGGCCGATCCCCGGAACCAGCTGCTCCACATGTGACCTTTTAACTCACAGCGTGATGGAATCCATGGCAAGGCTGTTCACATCTGGACGACAGGGTGGGAGCAGGCAGCACCCCATGGAGTTGGAAGGGAGTTGGCCGAGTTTCCTGGGAAACATACTCATCGCTAAACCCCGGGGCCGGTGTGCAAGACGGGAACGCTGTCTCTGGCAGAGGATGAGAGCGTGTTTGAAGCAAACAGTGGCCTGGGAAGTTAAAGGGCCAGACGAGGACCTCTCAAGCCAGAGCCCTGTCAGGAGCCGCCGACCCAGGGGTGAGGCTGACACTGAGAGGAGCGGACCTGGGGATGGGGCTCACGGGGAAGCGGGTTGACCTAGGGCCAGGCTCCCTTGGGGAAGGGGCCCTCACACCCCAGCCTCCCGGGTCTGGTCACTTTCTGCTGTAGAATCCTGGCTGCCTGGGCAAGGTGCAGTGATCTCCTGCCTGGAAGCCGCAGGAATAGAATTCTAGGGTTTAACACTCCATCCAGCGAGCAAAAGGACCCTCAGAGAGGAGACTGCTGGCCGGGGGCTCTGCATGGAAGGAGGGAGGTCAAGGGCTGACAGGGGTCGGGAGAGGGGTCACAGCCACTACTCCGTGATGACAGCACTGAGGGCACTACCTGCTCATCCCTGGGCAGCTGTCATGGGGTAGAAGCTGAGCCCCATGTGCCCGAGGGGAGGGACTAACACCCCTCGTCAAGGGGTCCGGGGTGGGTGGGTGACCCACTGAGAAGTGAGTCAGGGGAGCATGTGTTGACCGAGGCCTGAAGACACCACGGGGTCGAGATGGGAGAGGAGGGTCTGGGGCAGGGAATGGCAAAGGAATTCTCTGGCCCCTCTCGGGAGCTGGTTTTCCTGTGCAGGCCCCAGGCCTTGGAGCCGCCCTGCTGGGGCACCAGAGGTCGCTCGAGAATGGGGTCCCGGGAGGCCAGGTTCATGGACCCCACCCTTCAGCAAGTGGAGTGGGGGGCAGTGGATCTGGGTTGGACGTGGTCCTGGGGCCATGGGGAGCGCAGGGCCCAGTGGAGGGGGACGCCGTGCGTTTGCAGGAGGCAGGGACAGCTGGGAACGGGGCCGTGAGGCAGGGAGGCCCCTGGCAGGTTTCTGAAGAGCGTCCACAAGGGAGATTGGCAGCACGGAGTCGGGCTGAGAGCTCCGGAAAACACGGCCCGTGAAGCCGACCTTACGAAGCCTTTACAAACGTCCCATCTTGAGTACATGAGGGGTAATGCTGTGGGAAAGGTCAAGAATCCCCTTTGAATGTCCTTTTTAAAGAGGTCTGTCCCATAGCACATCTGTCCTCAGAAGTGGAGCCCGGCTGTTTTGTAGATGCCAAGAGCCGGTCACCGCCCTGAGAGTCATCGAGGGCCAGGAGCCTGCCACGGGGCTGGCGTGCCGGCGCGGCGCTCGGAGGAGCCGTGAACAGCCACGAGGGTGCGTCCACCGTGTCTGCCCCGTCTGCAGCACTGTCCCTCGCTTCTCCCCTGACAAGAAGCGGGGGTGCTGGGGGACGGCTGGCTTCGTGCTGTCTGTGTTGTGGAGTAAGGAAGAGAGAAGCTGGTTGAGGAAACCGCGCTGATGCCCGTCAAAGGCAAGGACTGTGAGGCTTGCACCCCCTTTACCCTCGGAGACGACGAGGCCGCTTGCGTAACGGCCGCTGCCCGGAGGCCATGCGGGCAGGTGATGCGAGCCCATGTTACAGATGAAGAACACAGGACCGAGTGCTGCGACGTGAAAGTGAATCTCCCAACACCGGGAAGGACGAAAGGCCTCGCGTCATCGAGAACGGAGGGAACGAGCTGCGGCAGGAGGTTTGGCAACCGAGGGCTGCAGAAGGCCTACGAGGGGCGCAGAACGTCGTGTCCACCGTGGGGTGGCCCAGGGGCTGGCAGAGCTCCTCCGCGCCCACCTTGCCACCAGCAACCCCGTCCTGCGTGCCCCACATTTGTCCCGGAGCCTTAATGGCCAACGTTTGCACCTTGAGTGGTAGCTCCTCTGGCCATTCCTGTCTGACGGGCTTCCGCGGCTTAACGCTCTTTCGTGTGGATGGCACAAGTCACTGCTCGCCCAGGAAGGCCGGCTGGAGTGCTCGGGCGCTGGACTGGGTAGTGGAGTGGGGCCCATGAGGAGGCTGGCCTGGCCTTGCACACCTTCATCCTTAAAACCAGAACGTTACAGTCTTTCTAAAAGGACGTGGTTCTGGGGTGCCCATTCACTGGCCCTGCTCTCTGAGGCCAGAGTGAGTGCCCACGGCACCCTGGCAGCCGTCCTCATGGTGAGGGACAGGCCCCTTCCCCAAAGCCAGCTGTAGACCTTTTGTGACAAATAAGTAACAACCACTCAGCACCGAACACTGTCCTGCACATGTCACGGCGTCTGAGAGACGGCTCCACGGGGCACTCGCGGCCCGACTCTTCTCGTCTTCGCGGACCCATGATCTCCTGTTATCCCACGTACAATAACTTACTTATTTTGTACTGCTAAGGTGATTTAGGCAGTTTTCAAATTTTGCACTTCAAACAAACAGCATGGTGAGAAGCACTGCAGGCTACGTTTCTAGAAGACCGGAGGTCATGGAAGAGACCTCTCGTTTATTCTGAGACGCATCAGCCAACTTCCTGCCAAAACGCGTGACTCACGGACACTCCCACCAGCTATGTAGAAAAGGGTGCCTGTGTCCCCAGATCCTGCCGCCCTGGGTACTGGCCACCCTCCGTTTTTGCTGCTGGGATGTGGAAAATGCTGTTATTATAAGGCAGCTTTAATTTGCATTTCTCTCATTGTGCATGAGATTGAGGAACGTTTCCTGCATTTGGGAACTACTTATTGTTCCTTGCAAGAATGGCCTCAGAAGTGTCCCTCAAGGCCTGTAAGGCTGCCGGCTTCCGAAGCCCACTGAGGACGAGGTCTGCACGTTTACATAGCGTGAGCCGTGGACACCCACGGGAGTGTACCACCCTCGACACTATAGGGAAACCAAGTTACTCTTATCTCTTCTCTGTGTGGCCAATGTGACCCCCCGTGAGAGAGACTCTGCTGGCAACTGACCTGGACAGAGTTTCAGTAAGAGCAACAACGAAGAACCCTCTGCAAGGTCACCCTGGGACCGAGGTTGGCACCAGCAAGTCAGAAGGCAGGCAAGC